TCAGAACCTCAGCATCATCTTTAACTCATTCCATGCTGTCACCCTTATATCCAGTTTCCAAATCTTAGTAATTCTACCTCCATAATATCTCTCACATTTCTCAAATCAGTCACCACCCTACTTTAGGCCTACACCCCTATTCACCTGGAATATTGGTCCTAATTGAGTCTCTTTCTTTTCTAATTCATCCTCCACGCAGCTACCAAAATAATTTTTGTGAGACATAAATCTGACCAAGAGAGTTAAGAGAGTTAGAGTTAATTAACTCGACTTTGGAAATCCTGCCCCATGGCTAAAAGGTGTTGATTAGTGATTCAGTGAAAATTCACATAATTTCTAGCTAGCCCTACTGAGATAAGTCACATCCCATCAATTTAGCCACTTCCCTATTCCTTCTTTGGTATCTTTTCATTTTCTCTGTTATCATGTGCAGGGCACCTCATTTTCCAGCTCTTGCTTTGCAAATACCAGTGGAAATGGTGGAGTAATCACTGCTTACAGCTCCATTAAACCTATTAACTTCCCAGACAAAATACTCATCACTGACCACCATTCCCCTGATATCCCCTTACTAGAATGTAATCTTTGTGAGTACAAGGTCTCACTTTTGTATTCGTATCCCTAGAACTTAGCATAATACTTAGCCTATAGGGGTTTTGTATTCCATCTTATTTCATACATGTTACTTCCCTGTTAAAAAAAAAATCAGTGACTCCCCATTGCCTCAAGGATAAATTATAAACTACTCAGTTTTTATTTTTTTAGTCCTCCATAATCTGGTTCTAATTTAAATGTAAGTGTGAGAATCGAGTCAATCAATTATTTAAAGTTACTGTCTCCCCAAACCTCCTTAAAGAAAGTAACTAACCCTAATGCCTTTATCAGATGAGAAAACAATCAAATTACTCAATCAATCCAAGGCATTAAATGAATGAACACACATTCCAATCCTTGTGGCTTTTGTTTAATGTAGTAAGCTCAGAACCAGTTATTCACGTATCTAGCAGGAGGTAGTAGAGAGCCATTTTCTCTGAGCTCCTGAGTGGGATAGTTGGGACTGGGGAGGAAGAAATGGAGGATCTACTTCTCCTCTTCCCCTGCTTAGAGCGTCCTTTCCTCCTCCCTCCCCTGATTTGCCCAGAGTGACCTTGTGAACTTCAGACAGTGGGAAGAGTAGGACTTTTTAGTGCTTTGACAACTGGGTGTGCATTAGAAGCTGAGGACAAGTTAAAAACACTGAGGAAAGGCAGCTTCATGACTTCACAAGTACCCCAGCAGAAAGCTGTACCATATTTCAGGAGAGAACAGCCTGAAGATTTCCAAGCTCTGTGAGTTTACCCTTCTGGCTTACAAGCACCCTAAGTTTGCAATCCCTTTCCCATGGTCTCTATATATGATTGCAGCTGAACCTGTCACAGGCTGTTGGAAGAACATCTTGTACAAACTATTCTTACTATGCCACCTTAGTAAATACCCATTTACTAACATAGCTAATTAAGTAAGGGGGCTGTCTAATTAATATTGATAATCAATGTGAAGCCCACCAACAGTGGCTTCACCACCACCACTACGGCTTATGAGCCATAGAGTTATAAAGGCACTCTACCCTAGCTCTTCAGGGCCCCTCGGAACAGTGGTGAAACTCAAATAGAAATGGATCACAGGTTTTGTGGTTGCTCGCAACCTACCACAAATTTGACAGAGAGGATAAGAATCTGACAACTCTGGGGACCTGAACTGCCAGTGCAAGCAGGGTTGGGGAAGAGCAAGTCTAGAGCATTGTTACGTAATGGGGCCTGTCCCAGATAAATTTTGGGCCTGTTGCACTTGCAGGACCCACTAGAGAGATTCTTCAACTAGGACTCTTTTTTAAAAAATTTTATATTCTACTTTTCAAGATTCACTAGAAGAAAAAAAATAGCATTTTTTCTCTTTTATTTAGATTGCAATTATATAGTAAGATTCTGGTATGTTTTCTTATAAGTCAAACTAGTTTTTTTTTATTGACTTTCAAATGTTCATATGCTTATTTACTAATACTTATTATATTAATCTACCCAATATGAGTATTATAAGTATTGTGAGAAGCTTTTATTTTACATCCCTAAAATACTAGTGCCTAGAAGTTTACCTAAAGCATCCCATATTAGTTAAAAAATATTCAACATTTCTTTTTATTTTTACAAGGTTTTAGAATTCTTGTCCTACTCATGATTCTAGACAGCTTATCTGACTATAATTCTACAAGATGGCATGGGTGGCCCAGAAACTCTCTTTTGAAGTCTTTTCTGAGTATTTTTCCACTATAAGTGAAGCTACTTGTGCTAGTGAGAGGTGAGTTAGAAACTGCATTTGAATTACCCTTACAGTAGTAGGGATCCATTGAGGGAGACTTTGGGTGACCTTTGTATAGGACCTAGAGAAAATTTGCCTAGACCTCAAAGAGGATTGCCTCTAGTATGAGAATCCCTGGAAAATTTTTGGTGTACCCTGTGTAGAAAAGGATTTTTAGAAATTTTTTCCCTAGGCCAGTAGAACGATCCAATTCACTGAAGGAATCATGGCAGTATTTTCACCAGGACAGTTTAGTTTCTCTCTTAAAGGGTGAGGGGCTGACTTGCAGTCTATTCCAGGTCCTTAAGCCATATGAAAAGAGTTCCACATATTCTGGGATCTCCTTAGAGACTGAACTTTTCTTCTGAGATAGGAAATTTGATTTTCTTTTCCTTTTTGAGTTGGTCAATGATTAAACCTGGCCTTTGTGTTTGGGCCTAGAGTAGAGGGCCAGAAAGAAGAATTTATTAAGTACCTACTATGTGCCAAGCTAATGTGATAAGCACTTTATAAATATTACCTCATTAGATCTCCACAAAAGCTCTAGAAGAAGGTAGGTGCATTATTATCCACATTTTTAGATGAAGAAACTGAAGCAAAAGATAAGTAACTTGAACCACACATTGTTATTACAGGAAAAAAAAATCAAAGTTTCCTTGTTATCTCACTTGGAGGGGTGACTTATGATTAGGTATGATGTAGTTTGCTTCTGGGTTCCTTGTAGAATCTTGAAGCTGCCATCCCTCCATGTTTCTAGTTTATCCTCAGTTCCCAATGAAGACACTGTTGCCAGTTGCAGCTTTCCCAGGATGCTGCCGGGACACTGATGGGAAGTCCAGTTCTTCCAGCTCTCTGAAGTTCACAAGGTTATCCTCTGGTCAGAATGGGAAGGAGGAGGAGGAGGAGGAGATGCTCTACCTCTCCTCCCATCCACCGTGCAGTAATCCCCTCTAAGGGGCTGCCCTCTATGCAGTCCAACACTTGAATACCAGGGTTGAATTCTGAGCCATTTTACACAAAATCTGCAGAGCATTAAGGGACTTGCCATATAATAATTAAGCGGCTAGGATTGATTGAATGATTCAATAGATGTATTCTCCTCAAGTCCATAATATCAAATCCTGGATGACAATCTAATGACTTAGGGAAGGAGCAAAGGGGTTATTGAGAAGAGAATAAGTATTTAAATAACACCTACTATGTTTCACGTGCTGTGTTAAGTGCTTTTTACAAATACTATCTCATTTGATCCCTACAATAACCCTGCGAGGTAGCTGTTACTATCCCCTTTTTGCACTTGAGGAAACTGAAGCAGAGGTTAAGTGATTTGCCCAGGGTCACAGAGCTAATGTCTGAGGTTAGATTTGAACTCGGGACTTCTTGGCACTAGGCTCAGCATTCTACTTATGGCCTCTTCATTATCATTTTACGTGCTTTCACTGTGCCTTAAATTTGAGTCTCAGGAAAAGTTCATCATCAAATCTAGGAATTGACATTCCTCCGTACTTCCAAATGTGTGGTAATTCAATTTAACAAAAATCATTTTACGAAGTTGTAATAGGTCACTGCCTATCTTAGACTTTGCAAGTGGCCTCTGCCCCCAACTTAAAACAATAAAGAAAAGAAAAAGGAAAATAAAAATCCACCCTTCTATCTCAGAGGCAAAACCTGGTCCCTGAAAAGAATACTGAGCATGTAAGGCTCTTCTCTCAAGTAGCCCAGGAGAAAGCCATACCACCCCTAAGGGGAACACCTGGAGTGTGCTAACAAATGACTTCCCAGGAGCTGTGAGTTTATCTTTTTTTGCCACATGAGTTCTATAAGCTCAAGCCCCTTTTCCTCTGGACTTTGTGTATAATTGTGGAAGAGTCTGTAATTGCGGGGGGGGGGGAGGAAGAGAAGGGGATAGTGGCAGTGTTTTATATCAACTCTTTTTATTATATCATTTTAGTAATACCTGTTTCTAAAAACTAAGTTGGGCTGGCTATTTGATATCAATTAATAATCAATGCGCAGCATACCAGTGGGTGTTCATGATATATAGAATTAAAAAGACACCATTCCTCCAGGCCCTTAGAACCCTGGGTGAGTCAAGGGGAAAGAAGCTAGTTATAATCTGGAGACCTGATCTTTGAGTGGTTGTGGATGTTAGGAGAGTAAATTCAGAACACGTGCTTATATATCATTTCAGTCTCATTTCACATTACTCTCTCTCACACAATCTATACTTTGGCTAAGTCAAATTTCTCAATATTTCCCAACCTTAGAGCTTATCTGCCTCCATACATTTATACAAGGGTAATCCCTTTTCCTAGAATGTATTTCTTCCTAATCTTTATCTCTTAGACTCCTTGTCTTCCTTCAAGTTACAGCTCAGGTGTCATATTTTCTGTGAAGCCTTCCCCAATGTCCTTCAAATTACTTATGTTTTCTTGCATGTCTCACGTTACATGTAGTATGTATTTGTCTCTGTCTCTTTGAGAAATGACTATTCCATTCTTGTCTCTCTTAACTAGTGCTTAGTATAGTGTCTTCTGTGCTTAACACGTACTTCATAAATGTTTGTTGAATTGGATTGTTGAGAAAAAAGTTAGAACATCTTCTGGTTTTCATCTATGGACACTTTTAATCAGCTCTCACTATTTTTGTCCTTCTATTTTGTTTAGGTGGCAACGTTTGTAGGTCCCGTGACAGCCATCCCAGTCCTTCTTTTCTCAGGATTCTTTGTCAGTTTTGATACCATTCCAGCATATTTGCAGTGGATGTCCTATATTTCCTATGTCAGGTAATGTATGGGAAACAAGTTGATTTGTCTTTATTTTTAACTCTCATGACTAGCAAGAATTGCTGTTATTCTATAATTAATGGTGTAAGGATTTGCTAACTAAAGCTAACAAAATTCTCTTTATTATATCAGATAGAAATGCCTTTTTCCAATTAAATATTTAGCTTGAAAAATGAAGTCTGCCATACTCCAAATAAATGAATAAACAATTAAATATTTGGCATGCTTGTGATTTTTTTCCCATATAAAATAAGGAAGATGAAACATATTGGTATATAGCCTGCCATAACTCTATCTTAGAACTGTAGAATGTTGGCCCTTAAAAGATTCTTAAAGATCATCTAATCTAAGGGTTCTTAACCTTTTTTTAAGTGAAGCCCTGTGACAATCTGGTAAAGCCTCGGGACTGCTTTTCAGAATACTGTTTTTAAATTCATAAAATAAAATGCACAAAATTACACATGAAACCAATTATATTGAAATAAAAATTTTCTTCTTCACATCCAAGTTCTCAGACCCCATGAAATTTATCCATTGACTCCTTGGGGACCCCTAACTAAGAATCTCTGATCTAGTTCATTGCTCTCAATATGGGGTTTGAGATTGAGGAAACTGAAAAGTTCTCCAAAATCCCATAGCTAGAAGAACTAAGACTCTAACTAAGACTCCAAGATGACCAAGTTAAAAATTCTTTCCAATTTTTCCTCAAAAAACAGTTAAGAAAGGGACCAAAGTAAAGTAGCTTTGGTTGAAGGAAAAGAATATAGAAAAATTTCCAGCAAGGTAACTAACTCCACGGAAAAACTGAAGAATAAAAAATAAACAAAAAAGATCCCATCATTTCACCTCACACCATTTCCTTCTCTAACCCTACATTAGACCCTAACTCAGGATTCTGGCTACAGTAGCTACTGAGTCAAATAAATCTTAAAACTAACTGTAGGTGGAGAGGACAATCACCTAAAGTCATCACTGCCTACCCCACGATGCATTGAAGCATTTCTTTGCTAAACATCCCTCCCCTGTGACCCAAAGAGAAGGCCATGGATTCCTACCTTACAGAGGTGGCTACAATGACTGCTGAATTGAGGAAATCTTTAGAGGCAACTAGGTGGCACAGCAGATAGAGTGCTGGGCCGCCTTCAAATCCAGCTTCAGACACTTACTAGCTATGTGACCCTGGGTAAGTCACTTAACCTCTATTTGCCCCAGTTTCCTCATCGTAAAACAGGGATAACAATAGCTCCTACCTCCAAGGGTTATTGTAAGGATCAAATGAAATAATTTTATAAAGTGCTTAGCATAGTGCCTGGCACGTAATGAGCACTTTGTAAATGCTGGCTATTATTATTTTGAAACTAAATTATTCTTATCTTTAATGTCCAGGTGGTACAGACATTTGACACCTGGTGTAGACTACCCTCAATAGCAGTTCAATTAATGTTCACCCCCGTAAGAGGGGCGTATTCAGGAGTTTAATCCTCATGGTTTGAGGCAAGCAATGATAAGATAACTAAGAAACTCATCAAACAAAGGAAAATATGTAACATAACAAAGATTTACTATGGGATTAGAGATTTCAAAGATAAAACTACAGGAAAAAATGATATACAGTACATCCAGAAAAATCACAGCAGATGGAAAAAACTCATAGCAAGGTTTCAGCAATTTGCATACTTACTTATACCAACAAATCAGATTTTTTTCTTTTTTTTCAAAATGTCTATGATTGGGGGCAGCTACATGGCACAGTGGATAGTGCACTAGTACTGGGGTCAGGAGGACCTGAATTCAAATTCAGCCTCAGACACTTCCTAGCTTTGTGACACTGGACAAGTCACTTAACTCCATTGCCTCCAAAAAGACAACAACAACAACAACAAAAAAAACCCCAAAGTATCTATGATCTGAAGCAATACACCGTGTCCTATAGCATGGAATTCCTTTAGATAAGAGCTTTAGTTTTTTTGCAAGTTGCTCAATCAAATCTTAACATATTACTTAATATCAAGTAAGTTGTTCAGAGCATTTAAAGTACATTTTATTGATGCCTTTTGTCTTTTAGTCACAGGCACTTTTTAGGAAAAAAAAACCCTTCCCATCTAGATTGAATCCTCACTTAGGAGAAAAGCAATTAAGCTAAAGTTTCTAACACATTAAATTCATTTGATTGAATTCATTCTGCCCCAACTTTTTTCCCATGAAGAGAGCACTAGTATGTTTCATTATCAGAGCATGTTTATTTTTTGAAGTAGAATTGTTTTTCTTGCTGATCAGCTGTGGCTATTCTAAGAGAGAGTTTTCTTTGAAAGAAAGGGAAGCAGTGGAAGAATAAGGAGAAAGGCACCTAGATTATGACAACACAGAGACATTATATAAAAAAGTAAAATGTGTTGGAATGTTAAATGTACTCGTGATAGGAGAAAAGAAAATGAGGTCTCTCCGGGAAACAAAATACGTAGATTTTATTATCCTTCCAATAAATGAGAAAATGTGGAGGATCAGGTAGCCTAATGTAACGAAGGAGTACTAGACTGGGTGTCAGGAAAACAAGGTTACAGTGAAGATTCAGACACTAAGTAGCTGTGCAAGCAGGTTGGCTGAGTTACCTGTAACGAGTAAACTTTAATTTTTAAAATCTTGGCCTCAATTTTCTCATTTACAAAGTGAGACGGTCAGACCAACATATTTTTAGCATCATTCCAGCTTTAAAATTCTAAAATTCTAGGTTAGTGTAATGAAGAAAGTGACTGTTGTTGAGTTGGTGTGATGGTGGAATTCTTAGATTATAATCAATGCTTTCCTTCCTAGGTATGGGTTTGAGGGAGTCATTCTCTCTATCTATGGTTTGGATAGAGAAGATCTTCATTGTGACATTGAAGAGACTTGCCACTTTCAGAAATCAGAAGCCATACTGAAAGAATTGGATGTGGAAAATGCCAAACTTTACTTGGACTTTATTGTTCTTGGGATTTTCTTCATCTCCCTTCGCCTCATTGCCTATTTTGTCCTCCGATATAAAATCCGAGCAGAGAGGTAAAACATTCCAGTAGGGAGAAAATTAGAAGTTGCAATTAAAGGCATTTGTCTTGTCTTTTCAGATCAGTATCTTACCCAGCTCTTAAAAACTATATTACATTTCTGGATGTCAAGTGTTCAACTTCTCAGTCCAGTTGGGTTGGGTCACCTCTCTAGTGTCCTTTATAATCTTAACTAGGAAGAAGATATAGAAGAGGGTTTTTTTTTTCAAAAGCAGAATTTAACATTCAAGGATGATATACCTAAAATATTACTGGTGACTGGATGTTTCCTTTTCAAAATCCTTCTTTATGACAAGATGACTTAAAGTCCTGGACATGGAATTATAAAGCAACTTCTTCATGGAGAACTTTTTCAGGAACTGATTACTATGTATAACAGGATGGGGAGAGAAGAAGCTGGAACACAGGGTTATCTTTCTCTTTATTTTTCTTTATTAAAAATATCCATTTCAATTTTCTAAGGTTTGTCTCCTTAAGACTATTTTTCTTAAGAAGTAACTTTCCATGCCAAAAACTTCATTAACATTCAAGAAAATGTTTTTAAAATATTATTTGTGAAAAATAATTTAGATTAAAGAATTATAATAGACTGTTTAAAGGAATCCCAGAGTAACAAATTGGTCTCACTTAAGGTTCAGATTTTGTGAAAGGATTAAAAAAAATGTTTCAGGTTGAGTCATATACCTTTAAACCAAATTTTAAATTTGCATAACATATGGAGGACAAACTTTTTAAAAAGACTAGGGAAATAAACGTGAAACTTTGCCAATTCATCTGAAAAAAATTGTCTTCCAGATACTTCATGTTTCAAGTAGTGAGGATTGGTAGCCCTTTCACTTTTATAGATGGTATACTTGTTAGGTGGATCAGGCCACTACAAAGGAAAAAAATTTAAAGGTTCAATTTAAGAGTGAATTTTAGGCTGAGACAGTGAATGTACAACTGATATTCTAGAGCTGAAATACCATATTGTTGACTATATAATATTAGCAATTATTATAATTTGTGTGGAAGTGGTTAAGATATTTATAAGGGTATTTCCTAGAGGAGACTATATACTTCTGGGTAATTTTACTAACCATTTTTTTTCACTGATCTCAGCTACATTACACAAAAGGAAAGATGTTTTACCCCTTACATGTGGCACTAACTATTGCCATTTCACTTTAGAAACTTGGAACCAAGTTGGACCCATGGGGAGGGTTTTCCACCCATTTGCATTATAAAAAAAAAGATATAAAATCCTTTGGAGTAGAAATTATTAATATGTCTTGCAGAAATACCAGGGAATGTTTGATAAATTAGATTTCAACAATTCAGGACTTTCTCCTTATTATACACATATTTCCTGACTACTATAAAAGGTGGTCAGCAATTCCAGTGTAAATCAATATCTTTCTAGTGAAGTATTCTGTGTTAATAGACAAGTCTCTTTGCCTCTTTTAGTCTCACTATATACTCATTTGTAAAATATGGAATTTGAACTAGATTATTTCCAAGGTTACTTCCAGTGTTTAAAAAAAATTCAATGAAGCCTGTTCATTTAGTTATTTGGTATAGTAGCATAACAATGTGTTGGTCAGTTAGACAAACTACATTGCTGATTGAATGGAAGTTAGTATATAGTGCCTCTGGCTCATCTGAAGCCAGACAGTAACTTAACAATGCTTTTAAAAACAAATATGCTCAGGTTGCTATTCTTAGTGACACCTTCATATATCCTCGAAATAGCAAAATACCAATATTGCTAACCAGATTTTGTAATTTTGGTAATGTTAGAAACTAACTTTTTCCTTCCCTAAGGCTTAGAAAGGGGTAAAAAAACCAGAATTTTGTTGAAAGCAAAAGTTTAATGGTTTAGTTGACAAATATGTGTTTGCATTTATGAATTGGGTGTTGTGTGTCTTGGCTAATAAGAAAGTATTTGTGAATATTAAGGATTGAATTTATTTTTGGAAAGTGCCATGAGGTTACATAATTTGAACAGTGTCTAATTGACCTTTACAGGCTTTATTTAATATCAGAATAGATGTATCTTAGAAATGAGCAAAAATAATGCAAAAGTAAATCCTGAATATGGAGACCTCATGAACATTCTGACCAAAACCAAATTTAGAGAAAGAGAAAACTGTTCTTTCTTTTCCCATAATAACTTGCTTGGGAATAATATATTTGAAGATTTTCTTTGAAGATCCCTTATTGGCAAGCCTGTTCATTCATGAATTAGTGCTCAACATCAAGGTGGGAACTTTCATTTGTGTATATGTGTATGTATGTATGTGTTTATATGCATATACACATACATGTGTGTGCATCTTAAGGCTGTGCTATGTAGACATTGTGGTATTTCTAGTTTTCTTGGTGGTACTACTTCCATCTCAAAGGCAATCCTATCTTGTTTATCACATCCATTGCTGCACCTCTCATTGTACCAAGTGTGTGAAGACAGCCCTCTTTTATTCAGGATTCAAAAGCAATGAAGTCTTCCAAAATAATCATTTCTCTAAAGTTTTATTTTTTCTGTCTTCTAACTTCCTTTGTAACTTCAGACACTTAAGGCATTGAGAGGTAGATTCCTAAGACATCTGAAAAAGAGGAAGAAACCAAATAATTGGAAAAATTATAGACAATTATTATGGGAAAAGTGATTGACAGTATATTGATATGTACCATCTCATATGGCCACTTTCTCACCTCTACAAAATATCTATGAGAATAATATATACACATATGGAAGAAACCCTTGATGAAATATGAGGTAGAAACAAATTTTCATAAATGATGTTCTATAGCAGATTATATCTTTATAGTCACACAACTGACTGAAAGAAAGGTACAGAGACTAGACCCCACTTTGTCTATTCCTTCTTTGTTTTACGTGTGTGTGGATGCATGTTGTTTGTATACATAGCAAAATGCAGCCTTAAAGGTTCTCCTTGGTTAAAATTCAGACTACAGATTTTGAGCTAGAAAGTACATGAGGTCATCTTGTCCAACCCCCTCATTTTACAAATGAGGAAACTGAGGTCTGGAGAGGTTAAGCCCACATTCGTATAGGTAGTGAATAAAACATTTGGAATTTTCCAAATTCAGCACCCTTTCCACCATATCTATAAATAGCAGGATAGTGGCAGCTATTCGACAATCACTGCTTACAAATATCAAGTGAGGCATAACAGGGACATGCATATTAGACAAAAGATAACTATTGTCTTGGATAATCTTTAGGGCAAATCTCTAATAGAAGAGATATTTCAATCTTATGTTGATATTTTGTGGACTGAATCAAGAATCAAGACACTACAGATGAGAAATATCTATTGTTGAAAATGAAATACATTTGGTTACTCAGTCCATTAACTAGGTCCATCAGCACATATATCTTGAACAAATACTGTAGATAGATAATAAGCTAGGCTGAGAACTAAGCAAGAAAAGACAAGGCAGGATAGAATTTGAGAAACTGGCACATTCAGCAATCCCGACCTTCTCTTTGAAGCAAACCCTATTTTTTTCAGTAATGATAAAATAACTGAAAATCATTGTATATGATAATCTCTGAAGAATCAAAATTATAGGGTAATGAGAAACTTGTGCTCCACTATTATCTATGCAATATCAAGAGATCTAGGGAAAGACCTGTAGCAATTTAGATGGAACTCATCTGGAGAATTTATGGGAAGACATTTATTATAAGACTTATATTGGATAAGAAAGCATGAATGGATTATGATGTGTACTACTGCAGGGAATGCCCACATTGATGAGATTATAGCTACATCAAAATGTTTTGGAAAGGAGTAACAGTCTTTCTTTAAGTCCTCTGAAATATTTTATTCATGTGCTTTCAGTAGCTTTATCTTTTTAAGGGGTAAACCTGTTCTCCAGCAAGCTTAGATTTGAAGTACAGCTTTTCTAAGCATTCTCTTTTTTGTGTGGTTTGTTGAAATACATCATTCCAATGTTTCATGATATTGCCTTAGCAAGCAAATGAGATAGTTCTTATAAAGTATACCATCAGCCTTCCTAAATGGGCAATTTTGCCTGATTTTTTGAAAATAGGAAAAGAAATTATTTGGAGGTCTATTTTTTTTCTAGAGAGGCACTCTTCCATATATTGCCTAACGTACTATTTTTTCTTTAAAATCAAAACCCTTCTCAAAAATCTGATTCTTCAAGCACCCTTTCTCAAAGGTGTAGTGAAAGGGAATTAGTACTTCTATCATCTAACCTGACCTATATAACTAAACCAATTAAGAGGAAAGAATGAAATCTGTCTAACTACTTGAGTTTTTATCCAAGTTCTATTTTTTCTTTTTCCAGGGGTCTGTTATTAGGAACAGGGCAGAAAGGAAAGTATATAATTTATTTTTTAATGGTTCTTATTAAGGTAGAAGACGTATCATTTATCAATTTTGCTTAGAAAGCTTCAGGCAGGTTTACTCCAATCATATTGGTGAGATTTTAAATTTATCTTTATTCAAAACATTTTGAGCCCCTTTTTCTGTATGTGATGAGTATATTTAGGGCATTCACTTCCTCAAAGACTCCAGGTTAGCCAGGCATTTAATGGGTAATTAATCCCAGAAGTAACATTTGGAAGTGTCAAAAAGGATAAATGTATATATTAACTAAAGCAGGGTTGGCAAACTACAGGCTGTTGCTTGAGTTTTGTTTTTGTTTTTACTGAATTTTATTGCATTGAAAAATGTAAAAATCAGTCTTAGCTTGTGAGTGATTAAAAAACTGGCAACTGGTAAATTAGGCCCTGGGGAATAGTTTGATGACTCTCCCCTCTCCGGGCACCCCCAACTAAAGGAATCAATAACAGTAGTTGCTCCTTTGGAAGTATTCCAGGAGCCCAAAGGATAGGGCTTAATTCCTTATTTAATTAAAAAACAAAACAAAACAGATTTTTTCTCAAATCAGAGCAAAGGAAATGCAAAGGTAGACATACAACATTAGACAGACTCTCTCAGCTCCTTTCCGCCTCTAAGGCCCTGTGGTATTATATGAGATAACAGGTCTTTCTGGTCTCATTCAGTTACTAAATATTAAGGTGATATAGAAGACTTGGATATTGTATGGAATTCTGTTAAGCCTACTTCTACCCTGGTAGTGGAGCCAGTTAGACAATTTAGGATGAATCTTTCAGCAGAAAAGTTTGATTGAATTCAATGAAATTCAATGAGTATTTATTAGGTAAGGCAGAGATGTCAAAGTCTAGGCCCACTGGTCACATAAGGCCTACACAACTCCCAAGTGGAACCTCAACCAGATTATTGGGAAATGTTTAACAAAACAAATAAGAATACCATATAGATAATGTCAGTTTGTGGTTTCCTACATCAATATATGGCCTGCAAGGATCCATTTCTATTTGAGTTTGACGTCATTGTTAAGGTAGTACAAATACAAATACAACATGATAGACTCCCTGCCCTCAATGAGCTTACATTCCACTGGATGTTACTTCCCTTCATCTTGCTCTATACCCTGACTTCTTCATAGAGTTCTGCTCTAAACTAAATAGTGATGATTCCCATGATTTCTGCTGGCATTAGTATAGTGTGGTGATTTCTCAGTCTGATCATAAAACTGATTTTTAAATCTACAGAGAACTGTCTTCTGCCAAAAGAAAAATACTTGTAATTCCATGCCAATGATGTGAAAAAATGGAATATCTAGAGGTCTCCAGAGCTTATTGGTTTGCTTTTTAATTAAAGCTATGACAAACAAAAATAATAAAGTATGAATCAGAAAAAGTTTCAAAGCACGGTGCTTATAGGAATGAAATTAAGTTTTTGTTGCTTTTTTGTTTTTACAAATAAGGAATTCTAATAAGTTTTATTTTTAAAACTTTATTTTCTTGTGTGTAGGCTTAAATTCTTGCATTTCAGATTCCCTAAAGACGATTCTTTTTGCACAATATTTCTAATATCCTTTATTATACATTTTAGAAAGATTTTACTTCTACTTAAGATCTAAAAAAAAGAAATAAGCTCATTATATTTAAGTAAAGCAATGTCCTACTTAATGTTTATGTATATTAATATTTAGTTTTTCTCTTCCTACCACCTACTTTCACCATTCTTGCTCTGATGACCTGTGAAACTCTTTTGGTGACCTTGAAAAACACAATGAAAAACAGTCATACTGTTTTCTTCTTCCAAATCACTCCACAGTTGCAGTCACCTCAGCTACCTCACTAACTACCGCAACTTTAGTGCCTATTATTATTTTTGTTTGGTGATGCAGGAACACAAATTTTTTTAGTTTCAGTATTTGCAGATTCAGCTGCTCTACGGTCAGGAAGCTATCCCTTTTTGACCATTTGTGAGGGCTTGTCGCTGAGCTGGCACAAGGGTATCTTCGATGCTCTGTTTTTATGTAAATGTCCCAGTCAGTACTAAGAAAACTTGCCCATCTGATCTAAAGCCCATGGTGCGAAGTAGAACCACTAGATTAGCAATTTCCTGAGGCTATTTTTTCCCTTTAAAAACAAATAAAACCTAATTCTAGTTCTGCCTCCTAAATTCTACCAGGAGAATTCCTAGTATACCTGTTTAAAGGGAATATTATGTTTATTCCGTCACTATCTATTTTCTCCTTATCTTCAAAAGCAGGCTTTTCACATGAAATTATCTTGAAAATCCATTGATTCTTTTTAATCATTCTCTACTTCTCACTCTGCTGCCTTATACAATTGGATTTCTGTCTTAGGTTAAAAGCTCTGACTTTTCTGATTTACTGTACTCAGACTGGTTAAGAAAGCAAAGTTTAATGAGATTAATTTGAAATAATAGAAACTATGCCTTTTCTCCATCCTAGACTAGTTTTGTTTTCTTCTGATCAAGTGCTAGCTGACTTACTTTGAAATCTCCCTACCAGCAAAAGCCAAGAGCCTAGGTCTCACCATGTTTTTCGACAGAATTTTCCCTTTGCTTTGTCTTGACTCTCAATTCTCACTTAAAATCAGTACCCTTGTGTGAGAGAAAAAAAATACAAACATCAGGTACATTTTTTTGTTTGTTCAGGAAGCACTACTGTAATAGGAATTTAAAATTATATCCTTTTATTCATTTTTATTATTCAGAGCTCAGGGCCATTCCTTCTGCAACTTTTGGTTGAAAGCTTGTCTTTTGTTAGTATTAACCTCATCTTACTTAATGTCTATGTATATTAATTTTGTGTGTATAATTAACCTGACTCATGGAATAATAATAGTATTAAGGGAAGACTCCTGACATTCCTGAGATGAGAAACCAAATAAGAGGAAGAAGGGAACACAGCAATTTAGCTTAAAAATCTCCCAAAATATTTTATTTGTGGAAGAATTTCCCTTTGTGGGAGGCCAAGTCTTCATGACATGTAAGTTAACCCATTGTGACTTTAAAATGTAGCCTTATGGTTTTTTAAACGTAGGATTTTGCAAACTCAGTGTTTAATTTATAACCAGACTTAGTTTACCTATTACAATCTGTTGAATTTTCCCTAGGGGATATTTGAGCTTATGACCCTGTTTAACTAAGTTTGTTCAACTTTTATGGCATTGAAGGAAGCATAGGAATCTATCTTTTCTTTAACTTTTGTGACCTAAAAGGAATTAGCAAGATTGTAATATGAAAAAGAAATATTTCTCTGTCACTGATGTAATTTTGTCTATAAGAAGTCTTGTTAGAATCCAAACTGGGATTTAGGTTTATTTTTTCCTCTGAGATCTGAACCTATTATTAAACATAATAAAACCTAGGTTTGTCTTACCTCCACAATTTCTGCATTGTGGTAGTTTTATTTCAGTAACAATTCTCTACCACACAACTCAAAGAGGAGATATTTCTCCCATAACACTACCAAATTTGATGTCAGCTGTTTCGTTTTCCTTCTCTTCCCATTCCTCCATATCTGACCCTATAAATTCTTGTGGTTAAACTAGGTTACGGAATAGCAAAAGTCCTCTCAGCAAATGCTGTCTCGAACCAAAGAAATCGATGTCTGAAGTATCAATTAGAAAAGTTCATTAGAAAGGATTTACTTCAAATACTTAAGCATGGATTCCACAGGTCAGCTGATGTAGCTACTTGGTTTATTAGAGTGGGTGGAGGAAGGGACTTGGACCTTTTTTTGTGGGGAAGGGGGTTTCCATCTTCATACTTCAAGAACAAAATCTTTCATACATCAAAAAAAATTGAAATGGCTAATAAATTGTGATGTAGGTAAATTGCTATGTTTATTAGAGAAAAGGCACTGAGATTCTTTCCCTATATTGTAACCATTGTAAAGTATAAAAAATGAGTATAAAAAAGAACCTCATTTTGCTAGAAATCTATACTGAAAGCTCAAGCTTCCAGTCATTGGGTTTTGCTTCAATTTAATTATTCACTATAGGCGGTGACATATAGCATTGAATCTGGCTGATCAGAAGCCGTTTGCTATACTACAGAATTTCTGTTCTTGCTTATTTCACGATGGTTCGGTATATTTTTTAGATCATTTATTGGACGTCTAATCTTTCAGCCAAATCTTAAGCAAAGGCATGATATTTCATACCCTTCACTCCACCAAAGCATTGTACATTTCAACAAACATTTCACTGGATGGTAATGCTACTATTTCTCCTTTAGTTAGAATTAGAATTAGAATATGACTGATTCTCTTTTTGGAGGAAGTTCAAAGGTGTCACTAAGCTTTGCATGTGAATGTAAATATATCACTAATATGCACATTTCACTTTATATTTCATTAGAAATACTAATCTAAGGGGCAGCTAGGTGGCGCAGTGGATAAAGCTCGGGCCTTGGAGTCAGGAGGACCTGAGTTCAAATGCGATCTCAGCACTTGACACTTACTAGCTGGGAGACCCTGAGCAAGTCACTTAACCCTGATTGCCTCGAAAGAAAGACCAATCTAGTTAATTTTGCTAACAAAAGATATTATTTTGGGGTTTTTTTACATGATGTCATTCTTTAAGTGTAATGATTTTTAAGGTGTGGCTTTAAACGGCTCCAAAAACTGTATCATATATGTTAGCTACAGAGTGTACAATTTCTTTGGCATTTTTGTTATTTGATTTTTGTTGTCACCTAAGGCCAGTTCCCTTAACTTCAAAGAGAAAACCACTAGATATGTACTGCCCATTCTAGTGCCCCTGTTTTAAACCTTTTTTTAGATGTACTAGACAATATTGAAATTTAGACAAATAATATTTATACTCTATAATACAGAGCTTTTTATTCATCTGGCTGCATTCTCCACTGTGAGTGATAAGAACTTGGTTTAAATGTTGAACATTTTTTGACATAATCCCCTTTCTTATGTAGTATAGATATGCACACACCCATATATTATACAGGTATTATATATGTGTGTGTTTGTATGTATATATACATACATATACATATGTGCATTGTTTATGCACATGGGGTAAGTAAACCCTTGGATCTTAGAGATTAGAATGTGTTGCTTAAAACAAACCAAGCATCTTGATGCTTCTGAAAGTGATATAATTTTAGTGAACTTCATAACTTCAAAATTTCTCTTATTTTTCAACCTTTACCTTTTCTCATTAAAGGGATCTATTACTGTACACTATGATGGTCTCAAGGTTTAAGAAGCCAGTCTATGTGAATTTCATTTTTCTTACTTTATGGTTTTGTCCGCTAATGTATTTAGATTTAAAGTTTCTATCATATAAATGATGATTAAAAGGTACTGCAAAATGATTGTAATATTTTGACTCTCCTAAAAGGGAAGGAGATGATCACTTTTTTTTAAAGGAAATTGTATGTTGAAAAACTTAAAGTATCTGACACTTTATCTGTGCTATTTAGAATGATTGGTGCCACAGTCAGGGGATATGGACCTATACATTGCTACAGGGAACTCCTAGGTGACAAAGCCCCTTCCATCAGTGCAGGTTGGCACCTTTATTGTATCTTATAGTATTAGAGAATTGCCTAGAACTTTGGTGTCAAACTTAATTAAAGACTATGGCCTGTTAAAATAGAAACCATACATAAGACTCCTTGCCAGCTGCATGTTGGCTTAGAAAACCAGATCTTAACATTATTTTAACATTTTCATTTAATATTTAACATATCAATGTTATGTCCTATTGTATGGGACGCTAACTGGCACAGTGGATAGAGTGCCCAGTCTGAAGTCAAAAAGACTTATCTTCCTGAGTTCAAATCTGTCCTCAGACACTAGCTATGTGACCCTGGGCAAGTCACTTAGCCCTGTTTGTCTCAGTTTCCTCATCTGTAAAGGACATGGCAAACCACCCCTGTACCTTTGCCAAGAAAATCCCAAATGGGGTCACAAAGACTTTGAAATGACTGAACAACAACAGTGTCCTGTTGAATTTTTATTTATTTTGTTAAACATTTTCCAATCACACTTTAATCAGGTTCAAGCCACAGTGTAGAATGTTGCTGGTGGAAATGAACTATGTGTTTGACACCTCTGCCTGGACCACAGAGAGGACAAATGACTTGCTCTGTCACACAACGATGAAATGTCAGATGGAGGACTTTATCCTTGGTCTTCCTGGCTTCAAAGGCCAGAACTCTGTCCCCTGTGCCTCTAATACATAATTTTATTTGAGCTTAGTGTGAAAGGTAATCTTTCACATGGCTAGGAATTATTTAATTTTTTTCCTTCCCCTCATTTCCCTAAAGCAAGAATCAATGCAAGTAATATTTTAAAATCAGTGTCCAAAGGTGTGAATAGTCTGTATTTTGGTGTAATACCTATTTTTATGATACTGTATACATAATTTTGATTCATTTCTTTAGGAGCTACTGCTTGCATGCTGTGATTTATTTGAACTACTGTAGATAATACATAGATACAAAATGTATAAGTTAACATTTATAAAATATTTTTCTTTCAGTTCCTTGCTCCTTTGCAGTTCACTTTAACTTGAACAATGTACTTCACTTGAACAACATACCTGAGCAGAAGTGTAGAATGTGGGGCATTCTAACTAGTTCTTAAAAACAATGATTAATGCTTTGTATATTTCTGTATAGTTCCTGTAGAAGATTTGTATGTGAATTTTTCCACATTTCCAAAATTTTGGCTTTGTTTTCTGAAAATAGCTGACATTTATGATATAACAAAAATCAAATAAAACATTATTTTCAGATTGCTGTTTTTATTTCTGTGTAATCTAATAAACATGTTATATAAGGCCTGCTGTCAGAATTTGGCTAGGAATTGGGGTAGATGACAGTTATTTTTGTTTCTTATTTTTGGTTTTTTTTTTCTCAGCTCACTCTGTTGAACATTTAAGGTTTTTTTAAAGGGAAATAACTTGGGTCAGAATACAATTCATTTTGTTTACTTTTTTTCAAAAAGCTGTTATTTCAATGTTTATCTTGGAGTACCTTTTACAGAATAAGTTCTGTTTAAATGCCAAAGAATTTCATCTCAAAATAGTAAAACAAATAAACAGAAAAAAAAAACCCACCTTTCCTAGTAACTAAAGCTGTCCACAATCAGAATGGATTTCTCCAGAAGATACTGGGTTCTTTTTCACTGGAGGTCTTCAAATAGAGTCTGGTTGATGACTTTTCAGGAATATTAAAATGGAGCTTACTCTTTATATAAAAGTTCACAGTGTCAAATTAACTGGAAGGGGCCTAAAAGGCCCAACACCCTCATTTTACAGACAAAGAAATTGAGACCAAGAGAGGAAAAGTACACATACTAAGTCCGAGAGATGGGAATCAACTAACAATACTAGCAATGGTTCTTATATGCATATGACATATATATATGTGTGTGTGTGTGTGTGTGTGTGTGTGTGTGTGTGTGTGTGTGTGTGTGTGTACGTAGATATATAAAATATATGTAGATGTGTGTACATATATATGGTTCTGTACATTTTTCAATTATAAAATTATGAAGATGTACATTGCTGCATATCATTTGTGATATCCTGTCTCTTCCTTACTAATATTCTCATTGATGATGCCCCTGATTTATGTATAGATGACTTAAATATTTTGTTCAGGTGAGAGACTAGGCATATAGAATTGTAGCTCTTGATGCTTTCTCAATTGCCTTTTTGGGGGTATGAAAAAGCTCTAAAATATTTTCTATGCTGTTGGTATCTTTCCCCTCTTCATCTAACTTCTATATCAGTTCTACTGTTCTCTTGAACTTGTATCTCATTCATCATGGATTACCTCTAAATACATTTTGTCTACAGCTGATTTTTCCATCTTTGTTTTCCTTGATGCCATACTTATTTTGCCTATAAGTACGTATAGGACTATGATGTAAAGACTGCACTTGAAAATGAAAACAATTTCTCATAGTAATCGTTACAGATCTTTTCCATTTTTCTTCTATCTGTTGCCTTCCTTTACTTATCATTTAAGTCCCTTGAGACTTTACTTAGTTGGTTCTCTTCACAAACTTTCTTCAAATTTGTTTTACCTGTACTGTTTTTTCTCTGCTTTATGAGCATTATTGCTTATAATTATCCATCATCCTTCTTTGTAAAATTTTAAAAATGAATTTATATTCTAAATACGCATTGCTTTTGTCTCCCATTTCCCTTCACTTGATAAAAAAAATCAAATATTTATTGAGTAAGGCAATTTCTGGACTCTGGCCTTCTTATTAAATGTTATATTTACAAAGTTTAACTTGCGTATAAAATTATTGTAATCACTGTTGATGTATTTTTTGATGTCCATTTCCCATTCCTCATTACTGATTACTTGAGGTTCGGGATACAACTATTACATATCATCATATCCTTTTCTTATTCTTACTTTTTACTAATTCTGCTCTCTACATTGACAAGTAGGTTGTCTGACTATATACAGACAGTTGATTCAGGTATAACTCCCACATCAATCATAAATTTTTCCTGTCAAAATAGAATCTATTTTATGCCATTTGCTCCATATGTATGTATGTGTGTGTGTGTGTGTATATATATATATACATATATATATATATATGGGGGGGGCTGTGTGTGTGTGCTATATGCTCCATGCCCAAAGTCAAT